GGAGATTACTTATTCTTTCTTCCTTTGTTGTGGAAAATAAGGTGGCCGTCTCAGCTTCTTAATGGCCCATTGGTAAAGGTGGGGGCTGAAACTCTGCCTGAGTTTCTGCTTATTTTCTTTAGGGGAATTTCCCTGCTCTTTTAATATTGAGCTTCTCATATCTTCCAACACTCCCTTCACTAATTAAGTGTATTCAAATGCTTTGTTCACTTAATCTGATCTCTGTCAACTAAAAACACCACTTCCTCTTATACAACATCTATAACCTTCCAAAAACAAATCACATACCTTCTCCCTTCCATCAATTCTACTTTCTCTAACTCCTTCTTCTTATAAAACATTCAATTCTCCTACCACTGTCAGCACAAGTCTGTGTAGACCAACTTAAAGGCAACTTTCTGGCTCCCACTAAAACTTCCTCTCTCCCTTCTACTTTGTATATCCCTCTATAAACAAATTAGCTCCTTCTTCGAAAGGAACAACAATTTATGCTGCTAACAAACAAACAAACAAGCAAACAAATCTGAAATATATTTGGATCAAACTTTAGCTTCAATTCTCTGCCTTTAGTAAAATGCAAGTCAGATTCAAAAAAGTCTTTCAAAATCATTTCTTTTATATAGATTGAATTAAGCGTTTTAAACCTCAAAAATTTCCAGAAAAAATAAAATCAAAATTGTATTCAGAGCAGAAAAAGCTTTCATATGCAAATTAAAGAGACTGAAAATAAGGCGATCACCCACTTCCCCCTCCTTTCTCATGCTCATTCAGCAGAGAGGGAGATGCTGAAAAGCCCAGCAACCCACCCTTTTCCTGCTTCTCTCCTCCAAAGGAAGTGGGGGGAGAGGGAAAAAATGTTTAAACTACATAGAATTCTCATCTCCTTTCACCTCTCAGCATCCTTTCAACAACACAACCCTCTGCATTTCTCTCTAATTTCCCACATTATCAACACACAGGCATTCACAGGGCTCAAGATCACTTCACTTTATCATTCCTTATGAGCTTCGGGACACCTCACACACACACATTCACATTTGTACTGCAATCAGACTTCTTGTATAAACCAATTTCACATACAAAAATCCCACTTCATGCAAACCAATCATTACAATTATTTCAGTGAGCTTTTTCACAAGCCACTATTATTAGAGGATTTCATCTTCCCTGCAGTTTTGGAATGATTATATACATACACATGCACACATATCATCAAACATTTCCCACAGCTTCAAGCACAAGTTTACTTACTTTGCTGGCCAGCCAAACATATCACAATCAATTCAATCCCATTCAATTTTACACACTATCATTATAGATGCACATCCAGGAATTTTTTTAACAGAAATCACATCAAATTGATCAAGTCAAATTATCTGAGTCTTCCCATTTAGGCAGGCTTTACCTTTTTACTGCCTGCTAAACCCCGGGTGAGAAGAACAGTAAACAATGTCTTCTTTATTCTTAGTTCTTTCAGAGTTCTCTGGCTTTTTAAGAATGTCAATTTATAACACTGCAATTAGTTCTTTTCTCTTACCACACATAAGATCACACACAATACTTAGTTCCTTAATTCCAATACTTAAATACTTAATTCCAGAGACTTTAGGATGACGCCTTGTCTCCTATGGGGGTCATCAGGCCCCCTCTTCCACCACTAAATTGGTGGGTACTTCTGAACAGAGAGACTTGAACTCCCTGACTTATACTTACCTGTTTTCCTCCTATTTCTTTTTCTCTTTCTTTCTTTCTTTCTTTCTTTCTTTCTTTCTTTCTTTTTTTCTTTCTTTCTTTTTCTTTCTTTTTTTTTTAATTTATGTTGAGTCTCTGTGTCTGGCTAACCTTTAAGGATTCTTGACTAGCCTGTTTCGCCAGCGGGTTTACGGCAGCTTCCTCACCGAAAGATTCCGTGGACTTCAAAGGAGTCCTAATGGCCGGCCAGTGGATTTTCCTTGGGGAGGCGTCAGTTCCCGCTGGGGCAGGCTGTCTGGCAGAACAAAAGTTCTTTGTTCCTTAGTCCCATCTGGGGTGCCATAAATGTTGTGGAATGGTGAGACCAAATAACATTCCTAGGTCAGCCAGAGCCAGTTTATTGCGCAATAGGTTCAGAGAGGTATGCGTACCAAAAAATCTGAACAACTTTATGATCCTGAGATCCCAGTTTTATACATTTTCAAACAAAGGATTCTGTTAACTCAGCAGTTTATATGGTCATATACATTTGTTATATTTAATTGACATTTCCTAATTACTAAAGTTTCATATTATTCTTGCCAAACAATCATAATTCTTTTGTAAATTACTGGAGCATAGATTCAAATTATCTTCTGATGATAGACAACTTTTAACTCATATGGATTCCCTTGACCTAACCAACCTTTAAGCTGTATGTCATTAGAATGTTCCTTTCTTCTGACAACTTAGAGGCCTCCTAGAGGTACCAAAAGGATTTTGGCTGAGTTTGTACTTTTTCCAACCGGATGCATTGCTTTTTAGAATAGAGTGAATAGAAAGTTATCCAGTGGTCATCTATCAGAGCCCGCTTCATTTACATTATCCAGAACTGAGTTTGTACCCACTTTCCTAAGGAAATGTAGTGTCTCAAACTACTTTCTTACAAAAATTAAATGAGAAAGCAGAAACTTGTAATAATATATAAGCAGGCAGTTGTTTAAAATCTGATCCAAAATTAAACATTAGTTGGTTATACTTAACCAGTAACTAGTTAACTAGTAGAATATTGATTGATATGATATGCAATCATATATCAAATATGATTGCATGCATATTTTTCATTTGTAAAGAATAGGAAAAACAAATTTTATTTCTACATTGTCTAAGTTATTTGGAATATAGGCATGCTTTGGAAACATCTCCAGAGCATTGAAGGACAAAAAAGAAGTGCTTTTTTACCTGGTTTTGGCTTAAATGTTTTGAATAAATCTCTCATTTCTTCATCCCATATCTTCTTTTCAGCTTTTCCTGCCATTTCTATGACTTTTCCCAAATTTTCAGATTTTTCTAGAATCCTCAGCAAGAGTTAGTTGAGTGTTTTGCAAAGGCTGTAAAGCTTTAAATTGTTGTTAATTATTTTTAATGCATAGCATCCGAGAGAGAGAGAGTAGATAGATGATAGATAGATGATAGATGATAGATAGATAGATAGATAGATAGATAGATAGATAGATAGATAGATAGACAGACAGATATAGATAGGTAGTGAAAGAGAGATGATTTGCAATAAATTCATTAAACCAATCAGAACTAGAACTATAATAAATAAAACAGTAATGGAATTTTACTGCCTTCTCCAAAAAATGTCCCTTAGCTTGTTTGTTTTTTAAATTATTTTTAATACATAGGATAATGAAATTGCAGAATTAAGGAGGGAGGGAGAGAGAATGAGAGCGAGCTTGCAATCAAACTCTTCAAACTAACCAGAATAGAACCAGACTAAATACTGGATTTTTTGAGTTGGCTTTTTAAAAAGTTCATGAAACAAGGTGCCTGAATCAATGTTGCCAACAGAAATCTCAGGTAAACATACCTGTAGAAGACTGTACCCTCACTAGTGACATTTAGCATCTTCTCTCATTACCAAGCCATTCAGATGGCAAAAGGTATTTCCTCATTACTGATATATTGTCACAGTAATGCTTTGATGTTCCTAAAAGAAACTAGAAGGAAATAGCTCAAGTATTTTCCCTAATTGACTAGGAAGAGATCTGGGGAAATGGCCAAATCCCAAATCTCCTCCCTTACATCTTCTTTAGCCCATGAAGCAGAGGATACAGCACCCAAAGTTCCAAGCAGAGAAATGAGAAATGAATACCTGTGCAAATGTGGACACTTTGTGAGCCTTGATGGATACCTCTTTTTCTGTGATGTCCTCTGGGCCTGGTGTTACATTTTATAACCAGTGGATGTGATTTACATGCCCAAATATAATATGACTAATACTTGTGTTTTGATTAGAATTGATTGGGCCTCATGTTTTCAAGCAAATATATCATTGGTTGGTTCAATGAAAAATCAACTGCTTTTTTTCTTCTCCTATCCTGCCCACCAATGCTTTCAATATGACCAAAAAGCTGCTGGAGATATTGCCCAACCTATTATGTGGCCAAAATTTAGGGGGGAAATAACTGCTGACTCTGCCAAAGCTGTTTTTCCAAAACTCAGCATTCATTTAAATGCAAAAACACACTCAACTATTCACCTCTCGGTTGAGGCAAAATACAATCACAGGGTTTTTTTTCCTTCTGAACATAAGACCCTGGAGGTGTTCGTTTTCTCTAGAGGAATTCCTTTTAGCTCAGGACTTCAAAATCCAGAATGTCTACTAAGGAGCAAAGAAGGAAAGGTAGACAGAATGGATTTGGAGCGATTCACCTTGGATTTATTTTTTTGAGGACTGAAACTTTAAAATGTTTGAGAAAATACAAAGTGGAAAAATAGGGAGAAAATGTATAAAGATAGTCGTCAATTTACAGCAGTTCATTAAGTGACCATTGAAAGTTACAATGGCACTGAAAAAAGTGACAATTTTTCACACTTACAACCATTGTGGCATCCCTGTGGTCATGTGATCAAAATTTGAATACTTGACAGTTTGTTCATATTTCTGATGGTTGCAATGGGGGTCATGTGATCACCTTTTGCAACCTTCTAACAAGGAAAGTCGACAAGGAAGTCAGATTCACTTAATAACTGTGACACTAATTTAACAACTGCAGTGATTCACTTAACAAGTTTGGCAAGAAAGATCATAAAATTGGGCAAAATTCACTTAACAAATGTTTCCCTTAGCAACAGAAATGTTGGATTCAATTGTGGTTGTAAATTGAGGACTACCTGTATATGCCATTATTGCAACTTCCTCTTTCCTTTCTTCTTCCATTCGTTCTTACTTTCATACACACACACACATACACATACAAAAAGGTCTATTGTTGGGGTCCAAGGGGGTTTCTTAACAAATAATAAACATAACCACAGGATATTATTCTATTTTTATTGTTTAGCAAAGAATAATGATGATAAATGAAAAAGCGGGCATTGCTTAAGTGTCTTATGACCTGAGAAATTCCAAAAAAAATTGCTCAATCTGCTAAAAACAGCCTCAACTGTATAAAACTGAAACTTTTACTTACTAACAAACTTACATTTCCCATAAAACCTGAAATAGGCATTCCCCTTAAATAATTCTAGTGATGACAAGTTCCGCTTTTTCCTTCCTCTCACTTGTTTCAAAATAAAAAAGGGTAATGTCTGTTCCTCCTTTTTGACCGAGATTGATAGGTTTATTGGGTTCAGAAGAAGTACTTATGAACCAACCAGGGAACTGGGCAGATTCAAAAGAGCAGGTTTCTGAGCTGCCATCCATCTTGCTGTAAAAACTGAAGTCCAAAAACTTCTGGTTTTGATTGTATAGCTCCATAAGGTTTCTCTCCTAAGAAAACATGAAAAAAGTGTTAAAAACAATATTTATACAGGAGAATATTTGTAGCTCAGGGTTGAAATTAAGGGTTCTTGCTGCTCTCTGAGCTGGATTGTTTTCTTGCAGATGTTTCATGGCTCAAACTAGGTAACATCATCAGTGCAAGATGTTACCTAGTTTGGGTAATGAAACATCTGCAAGAAAACAATCCAGCTCAGAGAGCAGCAAGGACCCCTCAGAAGTAATATTGCAACAATAGATTGGCTGCAATTGACTGCAGGGTTTGAGGTCCTGGGGACAAAAGCCTGAAAGCAAGTCCTTTGCCTCTCAATGTGTCCAACTTCCTCCTCGTTCCTCTTGGGATGATAAAAGTCCAAGCAAAGCTGACAGATTCAGCATAGTGTTTTCTTTCTCATTTCCTACCATGTTCTTTTGTTGTTGTTGTTAGTTGCGAAGTCGTGTCCGACCCATCGCGACCCCATGGACAACATTCCTCCAGGCCTTCCTGTCCTCTACTATCCTCTGGAGTCCATTTAAGCTCACGCCTACTGCTTCAGTGACTCCATCCAGCCACCTCATTCTCTGTTGTCCCGTTCTTCTTTTGCCCTCAATCTTTCCCAGCATTAGGCTCTTCTCCATTGAGTCCTTCCTTCTCATTAGGTGGCCAAAGTATTTGAGTTTCATCTTCAGGATCTGGCCCTCTAAAGAGCAGTCAGGGTTGATCTCCTCTAGGACTGACCAGTTGGATCACCTTGCAGTCCAAGGGACTCGCAGGAGTCTTCTCCAGCACCATAGTTCAAAGGCCTCAATTCTTTGGTGCTCAATCTTTCTTATGGTCCAGCTTTCACAGCCATACATTGCAACTGGGAAAACCATAACCTTGACTTTTGTTGTCAGGGTGATGTCTCTGCTTTTTAGTAAGCTATCTAGATTTCCCATAGCTTTCCTCCCCAGGAGCAAGCGTCTTTTAATTTCTTGGCTGCAGTCCCCATCTGCAGTGATCTTGGAGCCCAGGAAAATAAAATCTGTCACTATCTCCATTTCTTCCCCATCTATTTGTCAGGAATTGAGAGGGACAGATGCCATGATCTTAGTTTTCTTAATGCGGAGTTTCAAGCCACCTTTTACACTCTCCTTCTTCACCCGCATCAAGAGGCTCTTTAGTTCCTCTTCACTTTCTGCCATTAGTTTAGTTTAGTTTAGTTTAGTTTAGTTTATTTGATTTGTATACTGCCCTACTCCCGAAGGACTCAGGGCAGTGAACAGCCAACAATAAAATACATAAATACACAAAATTTAAAAACCCGATAAAATCAGATTAAATTATTTGGCCCAGACAAATTAAAATACCCCGATAATTTAAAAACAGATTAAAATTTACATATTTAAAAAGGGAAGAGATTAGGCCAAGCCCGCTTGATGGAATAAAAAGGTCTTCACAGCACGGCGGAAGGAGCACAGATCCGGGATCCTCCGTATCTCCGGGGGGAGCTCATTCCAGATGGTAGGTGCCCCCACAGAGAAGGCTCTCCCCCTAGGGGCCGCCAGTCGACACTGTTTGGCTGACGGCACCCGGAGGAGTCCCTCTCTATGAGAGCGTACTGGCCGGTGGGAGGCTATTGGTGGCAGTAGGCGGTCCCGTAAATAACCAGGCCCTAAGCCATGGAGCGCTTTAAAGGTGGTAACCAAAACCTTGAAGTGCACCCGGAAGACCACCGGGAGCCAGTGCAGCTCGCGCAGGAGAGGTGTTACATGGGAGCGCCATGTCGCTCCCATTACCACCCGCGCGGCCGCACTCTGCGCCAGTTGGAGCCTCTGGGTGCTCCTCAAGGGGAGCCCCATGTAGAGAGCATTACAATAGTCCAGGCGGGAGGTGACGAGGGCATGAGTGACCGTGCGTAACGAGTCCCGATCCAGAAAGGGACGCAACTGGCGAATCAGGCGGACCTGATAAAAAATCCTCCCGGTCACGGCCATCAAGTGCTCTTCTAAAGACAGCCGTGAATCCAGGAGGACGCCCAAGTTGCGAGCCCTCTCCGTGGGGGCCAATGATTCGCCCCCAATAGTCAGTGATGGCGTCAACTGACTATATCAGGACGTCGGAAACCACAGCCACTCGGTCTTGGATGGGTTGAGCCTGAGCCTGTTCCTCCCCATCCAGATCCGTACGGCCTCCAGGCACCGGGACATCACTTCAAGGGCATCGTTGGGGTGATCCGGGGTAGAGATGTACAGCTGGGTGTCATCAGCGTACTGATGGTACTCCACCCCGAAACCATTAGAGTGGTATCATCTGCATATCTGAGATTGTTGATATTTCTCCAGACAATCTTAACTCCAACTTTTGATTCATCTATCCCCGCCTTTCTCATGATGTTCTAGTGAGAAGCTAAACTAAAGCTTATGAATAATTAGAAGGGTGGCTAGATCCAGCCTCACAGCAAGGGGGAACCATGTGGTTTACAGATTGTGCGTAGCCTATCTTGTCACAAAGAATCAGGCAAAGAGGAAGGAACTAAAATAAAGAACCAGAGCAAGCATCATCTGAAAATACTACTAGAAAGCATCTACCCAAGATTATCACAGATTTTTGACTTCGAGAACAAAATAAGTTAGCTGGTGAATGGCCTTTCAGAAACCAGTTCTTCACCAATGGAGATTAAATGAGAAGGGAAACATCGCCAAAGAAAAATAGACTAGTTGCATTTTGAAAAATAGCACCTTTGGGAGAACTAACAATTGCAATCTCTCAAAATGAGAAGCAGATGGATTCAGGAATTGTTCATAACAAATATCGCCACAGTAGTAATTGAAATTTCACTTTCAAACATAAGGAACGTGTAATTAGCGACCTAGTAGCCCTTAAACCAGGTTTTGTGTTTCAATGTTGGACTGCTTAATGCTGTAAGTGGATTCTGTTAAAAACAAAACAAATTGAAAGCATGGAAGGACAATATAAAGAACATAATGTGGTTACCATGTAATCAGATATCTCCCACTTTGCTCAGGAGACCAGCCATAATGCATCACAAGAGTTTATGCTCTCTGCTTCTTCTGGGTCTTTTTAATTTAAAGAAAGCCAAATCCACATTTAAGACTTCACAGTAGCCCTCAAACCTCAATGAACCATTCTATAAGCATATTTTTTCAAAAATTAAAAACAAAGAAAAGCTTTCTCCACACCTGGCAAGCTTTAGAAGAGCAAACGTTTATCCAATTTCAAAATGTAGCAATCAATGTTGTGAAAGGGGAGAAAAATGTTCCTAAGAATCTCTCAGGGTTGCAATCTTCTCCATGTCTTGGAATTCAGCATTTCCACTTAGCAACTTCATTTAGGTGAAGACTCTAGCGGTTGTTTTTATGCAAGTTTTAGAGGAAATTAGATTTTGTTGGTTTAAGGTTAGATTTTGTTATTGTGTTTGGGAGGGGGAGGACTTAATATGCCAAGTGAGCGCAGCACAATTGATAAGAGCTGTGGTGGCTCAGTGAGTAGAATGCAATATTTCAGACTAATTCTGTCAACTGCCAGCAGTTCAATTCTCATTGACTCAAGGTTGACTCAGCCTTCTATCCTTCCAAGGTCAGTAAAATGAGGACCTAGATTGTTGGAGGCAATATGCTGACTTTGTACACTGCTTAAAGAGGGCTGTAAAGCTCTATGAAACGGTATATAAGTCTAAGTGCTATTGCTAGGTGCATGGCTCATTATATTTGGAAAACCTTAAAAACAAGTTAATATAATATGCAAGTTGTGTGTGTTGCATAAATACTGCCATTGTATAGAAGAGAAAATGCCAAGTTAGGATTACAACTCACCACTAAGTGTATTTGAGGTTGACCCTCGCTAGACAATGTGCAAGACAGAGTATGCAATCCATCGTTGAGGCCCATAAAGATGGGTTGCTTTCTTGGATCTAAGGCATTATTGGGGAGCACAGCCATCCAGACTTCTGGTGAAGAATGGTAGACAAAAGCCAAGATTAAAGTCACATACTTCTTCTGCTGGTTCAGAAAATTGGATGAAAAATCCACTGACTAATTATAGAACAATAATATAGTACTCAGCTTACAACCATAATTGACCCCAAAGTTTCTGTGGCTAAGTGATATATTTGTTAAGTGAGTTTTCCCCCATTTTACGACCCCTCTGTGCCACAGTTGTTAAGTGAATCATTGCTGTTATTAAATTAGTAACACAGTTGTTAGGTGAATCTGTATGCCCCATTGACTTTGCTTGTCAGAAAGTCGCAAAAGGCCCCAGGACACTGAAACTGTCATAAATATGAGCCAGTTGCCAAATGTCTGAATTATGATCATATGGCCATGGGGAAGTGTGAAAAACATCATAAATCTCTTTTTTCAGTGTCAATATAACTTTGGTCACTAAATAGACTGTTATAAATCAAGGACTACCTGTAAACTCTTTAGCATCCAATAGGAACATATCTGAGACCTCTTTAGAATTGCAGGTGGTAGATGAATTGAGCATATAGCTAGTTTCATTCTCAGTATGGGTAGTCCTTGACTTACAACAATTAATTTAGTGACAGTTCAAAGTTACAATGGCACTGAAAAAAGTGATTTCTGTTTTCACATGACCATTGCAGCATCCTCTGGTCACATGATGAAAATTCAGAGCCTTGGTAACTGACTCATATTTATGATGGTTGCAGTGTTCCAGGGTCATGTGATCACCTTTTGTGACCCGACAAGCAAAGTCAATGGGGTAGCAAGATTCACTTAAGAACTGGGTTACTGACTGAATAAGTGGTTCAATTAAAAACTGTGGTAAGAAAGATCATAAAAAGGGGCAAAATTCACTTGACATAGGTCTCACTTAGCAACAGAATTTTTTTGCTCCATTGCGGTCATAAGTTAAGGACAACCTGTAATAAGATGGTACAGCAGTACCTACACAAAAGATCCTAACCCTTGACACTTCCATTATCCACAATTTTAAAATGTATCCTCTGATCAATGATGCCTTGCCATGCTTGTTACTATCCCATCATGTAGCTTCCCAGAAACCCAAACAGACATTAAATGAGAAGCAGAAACTGAAACCAGGAGCAATATTCATTTCCACTGGAAGATTTCCTCATAGGAGAAGGACAAGAATGCTGCTGAGCTGGCACAGGTACAGTCTTTAAAAAGGGACTCATGGAAAGAAGGTGAGGCTTTTAGAAGGCAAGGTGGAGGTGTAGTGAGCACTGATAACACTACCAAGTTTGGGTAATAAAACATCTGCAGGAGAATAGCCAAGCTCAGAGAACACCAGGGACCCCACATTTCAACCCTGAGTTACAAATATTTTCCTTTATTGGAGGTGTAATGGCTGGCAACCAAAGCTATGACAGCATTAGAAGATTTTTAGGAAGGAGGAAATGTTGGCTGAAGGTTCTGAATTGGACTGAGTAGTGATACGTTATTGAGAGGAGAACGGGACAAAACTCTCAGAAGCAGAGGAGACATGATAAGGAGATGAGTGCTGGTGGGAGAGATGAAAATTATATTTTCCAATGAGAGGGAGAGGGAAAGAAAGAGAAAGAGAATGTTTTAGACCTTATCTTAATTACAAATAAGGGTAGGTAGGGTCTGTTGAAATAGACCAGTGTACATGCATGTTAAATTAATAGTAAAGAGTTCATAAATGAGCAATTAGAGAACATTTAAGATGCATAATGTTCGGTAGAATTCTTTCTACAATTTAATTTTAAAGCCATGGCTTTATTCCTTCCCTTCTGATTATCAGCAAAAAGAAGCAACAGAGGGCAGGAGAATCCAGACTTGGTTTATCTAACTGTAAACAACTTGCTAGCTCTTAGATTAGATTAACAGAATTGGAAGGGAGTTTGTAGGTCATCTAGTCCAACCCACTGCCCAATCAGGAGACCCTACACCATTTCTGACAAATGGCAGTCCAGTCTCTTCTTGAAAGCCTCCAATGATGAAGCTCCCATAACTTCTGAAGGCAAGCTGTTCCATTGGTTGATTGTTCTCATTGTCAGAGTTGATCCCTCTTGCTAAGGGATCAAAATAAATCCTCCTCCTCTTCCTCCTCCTCCTCCTCACAATAGTTGTTTTGCGCTGTCTCCCAGCAAATCTTGAGAACTAACAAAAAGCCCATAAATATTCCATCAATCATACTGGGAGAAGATAATATAAATCTATCTATCAAGGTTTTGTACCTGGTGAATTGAAATCCAGGGGGTTTGCTATCAGCATGCTGTTAACCATAAAGAGGAATTTCTGGCTAATATCCCAAATTCGGAACAAGCGGGGTTCCCTTAATCTTTGAGGCTCAAGCACATAAGATGGTTTAGAGGGTTTCAGATGTGACATTTTCAGATCTGGAGAATATGCTGTGGAAAAGATACACATAAGTTTACACAGATTCATTCTGCTTAAACCGTGCAAGCAAAGGAAAAGTATGGTCAGTTACCATAGTTTGGTTCAGCATTCTGTTCAGCAGATGTATCATTTCTCAACTGCCCCATTTAATTTGGAGGATGCAGCTCAATGATGCAAGGAAAAGGTCAATAGGCCCTGGACATCACTGTTTGACATGATGAATAATCTGTTTGTCATATTTATGTGTGCATTATGACACGTAAGATTCTACGTAAGATTTCTTCTTATTTCGGGACAAAAAAACCCACCTTCCTTTCAAGAGAAGATCAAGAGCCAAAGGAATACTGGATTCCACACCATATAATATAGAACTCATGTGTATATGACATAACTTAATCGGGTAGTGATATTGCAATATTTATTTTTACTTCTTGCTAACACTTGGATAGTGGTTAAGGCACCAGCCTAGAAACTAGAGACCATGAGTTCTAGTCCTGCCTTAGGCATGAAAGTTGGCTGGGTGATTTTGGGCCAACCCAAAACTCATCTCCTCTTACAGGATGTTGTTATGCAGATAATAGGAGGAGGAAAATATGTTGAATATGTTTGCCACCTTGAGTTATTTGTAAAAATAATAAAGTGGGATGCAAATAAATAAAAAGTATAGTATAGATTGTATAGTTTAGATGAAAAATGGGAGTGGAAGAGCTATGTCCACCATTGGTATTGATGTGGCACCTGAAAGATTTCTAATTCTAAATCTGATCCTGAAAGTTGAAACTGTCCCCAACTTTGCTGTTAAAGTTGACTCTTATTTGGGGTCCATTTGCTTTGGATCTCTCTCTCTCTCTCTCTCCCCCTCCCTCCCTCCCTCCCTCCCTCTCTCTTACACACACACTTTCATCCTCTTCTTCTGCTTCTTTCTTCTGCTTCTTGCTTCCCACAATTTCCTGGCCTGCCCTTGGTAGGGAACTTGGCAAGGCCAAACTGTTCCTGAGCTCTACTGCTATTGAATTTGTTTTGTTTCAATTAAATTGACCCAGCTTGCAAAACTGGTTTTTCTAGCAGCCACAGTAGGAGGTCACTTCTCTCATTGCCTGTCCTATAGGGTAAAAGCAACTGTTTTACTTAATAAAATGCATACAAATAAAACCTTGGTGAGTCAAGCTTGATTCCTGGTGATTTAAGGGCATATTCTTGTAGTTTTCTTAGCAACGGTATGGAATTGTTGGAAGACATATCCATCTGGTTCAGTTCCAAGCCGGGAGGAAGACACTGGAAACATGAAGGCTGATTGGAAAGATGGTTTAATGATGAAGCAGAACCACATTGATGGTCCTTGACCACATGGAGTTGAGTGGGGAGTGTATGTATTTCCTTGGGCTTTGAACTTGAGCTTCTTGTTCCTGTGCAAGAACATGTATTCTATTGGCTGCTGTCAGACTCCCATGGGGCTACACAGAGTTCCCAGGTTTGGTTGCTTGGCTGATGCAATGTGTTTAGGAGATTGTGCCATGTGGTGAGCTTTGCTGCTAGATGGGTTAATCCTATTATGTCCTGGAGGGTCATATCTTAACCCCATCACCCTGGAGCTAGAGGTCTTTTGTCTTGTAGATAGGCTGGACCAGTCTTTCTTAATGGGCACCAAATAACTGCTGGGGACAGGGAGCTGGAGCTCTGAGTTTCTGTTGCCCTTAGGACTTTTATTTCTTTTCCAGGGGAAATATTTAATTCTGCCTTTTTAATATTTCTCAAAATCTGCAACTGCTGAAATTTCAATTGATTGATTGATCTCATATTTTTATAGACACACACGCACACATACACAAATAGACATTCCTAATTCTTTTTTTTCTTTCTATTTCAACAATAACAACCCTGTGAGGTGAGGTGGGCTGAGAGAGTGACTGGTCCAAAGTCACCAGCCTAAGGTGGGACTAGAACATACAGTCTCATAGTTTCTAGCCTAGTGCCTTCAGCACTAGACCAAGCTGGCTTTGGATTTACCAGTCTAGCTAACAGCACTACTGTTTCCTGGTGGTTCCCGATGTTATGGGCAGAGCAGAGAATATCCTTAACACCATCCAAATACTAATTGGGTCTAATCCTACTTAGTATTTCCAGATCAGCCAAGTTCAGCTAGGTGCATATTTACCACTGATTTACTGGGGATTTTTTAAAGTTTGTGCTATCAACTAAGACATCAGTCTGGAAACTGGGAAACTGTAAATTCTAGTCCTGCCTTAGGCACAAAGCCAGCTGGGTGATCTTGAGCCAACCACACTCTCTCAGCTCTAAGAAGAAGGCAATGGTAAACCATTTCTGAAAAAACTTGCCAATAAAACTTCAGAGACTTGTCCAGTCAGTCTCTGAGAATGAGACATGATTGATCAGAAGAAAAAAATGTCTGTTCCATCTTTAATAATAATAATAATAATAATAATAATTTTATTTCTATACCGCCCTTCTCCCGAAGGACTCAGGGCGGTGTACAGCCTATTTAAAAACACAGGAACAAAACAACAATTAAAATTTAAAATCATTAAATAATTAGGCTCCAATTTAAAATCCCAGAAATTTAAAATACCCCAATTTAAAACGTTATGTTAATAGCCCGGCCTGGCGGAACAACAGGGTCTTCAGAGCGCAGCGAAACACCCGGAGGTCGGAGATCTTACGTATTTCCGGGGGCAGTTCATTCCACAGGGCTGGGGCTCCCACAGAGAAGGCCCTCCCCCTGGGTGTCGCCAGCCGACATAACTTGGCCGATGGCACCCTGAGGAGACCCTCTCTGTGGGAGCGGACTGGTCGGTGGGAGGCTATTGGTGGCAGAAGTCGGTCTCGAAGGTACCCGGGTCCTATGCCATGGAGCGCTTTAAAGGTGGTAACCAACACCTTGAATCGCACCTGGAAGACCACTGGGAGCCAGTGCAGCTCGCGCAGGAGGGGTGTCACGTGGGCACAACGAGTTGCACCCATAACCACCCGCGCGGCCGCATTCTGGACCAGTTGGAGCCTCCGAGTGCTCTTCAAGGGGAGCCCCATGTAGAGAGCATTACAATAGTCCAACCGGGAGGTGACAAGGGCGTGAGTGACCGTGCGCAAGGCGTCCCGATCCAGAAAGGGCTACAACTGGCGAATCAGGCGAACCTGATAAAAGGCCCCCCTGGCCACGGCCGTCATGTGCTCTTCTAAAGACAGCCGTGCGTCCAGGAGGACACCCAGATTGCGAGCCCTCTCTGTGGGGGGCAAAGATTCACCCCCAATAGTCAGCGATGGCACCTGCTGACTATATCGGGGCGCCGGAAGCCACAGCCACTCGGTCTTGGAGGGGTTGAGTCTGAGCCTGTTCCTCCCCATCCAGGCCCGCACGGCCTCCAGGCAGCAGGACATCACATCAAGGGCATCGTTGGGGTGGTCTGGGGTGGAGATGTACAGCTGAGTATCGTCAGCGTACAGATGACACTTCACCCCAAAACCACGGATGATCTCACCCAGCGGCTTCACATAAATGTTGAACAGGAGAGGTGAGAGGACCGACCCTTGCGGCACTCCCCATGCGAGATGCCTCGAGGTCGACCTCTGTCCCCCTGCCAACACAAACTGCGAGCGGTCGGAGAGGAAGGAGGAGAACCACCGCAGAACGGTGCCCCCTATTCCTAACCCCCTCAACCGCTGCAGCATGATACCATGGTCGATGGTATCAAAAGCCGCTGAGAGGTCTAATAGGACTAGGACAGAGGAGCAACCCCTGTCCCGAGCCCTCCAGAGATCATCCACCAACGCGATCCTATTATTACATCTGATATATTCAATTCTGAGACTATCAGGGGAAAAAATTGTATGATCACTCTAATTTGTTAAAGCTCAACATCAGTACATCAACTCTCTTAATCCTATGGTGACATATAGATTTTAGATTCATAAATTCATTCTCTTTTAGTTTTTAGTTTATGGATCATAATTCCATATGTATTTTATGATAAATATATTTTACATTATTAAATTGGGAATATCTTTCAAAAAAAAACAAACAGAAAAATATTAAGTAATTTTCACCCTGCTGTTGTCTCAACTGTTGGAATAATTCCTTCATTTCCTCATCCCAGCTCTTCTTATGGCATTTATTCTTCTGGATCTCCATTTCTACTATTTGTCCCAGTTACTCCAGGTTGGTTGTTGCTTTGGGTTCTTGGAGAATTTTTCCACCCTTGATACTCCTGTCCTAAGAGAATGTGTTAAAGGGAGTTGGCATCCTAAAGTGTGATTCCAGAGAGACAGAGAATAGAGATACCACTCAGCACATTCTGAACACTCACCAAATGGAAATGTCTATGGGGATTTTCAATCATCCGGGACATGGTTATCCCAAAGGTTTTTTCAAAAGGCAACTGGATTTTCTTCGTTTTTCTTTGAAGACATATCGCTTCTCATCCAAGAAGCTTCTGTTCTGGAGCTTCTTGGATGAGAAGGGAAACATCTTCAAGGAAAAACTCTGGACTCTAAAGGCCAGTTGTCTCTTGAAAAAAGCACCTTTAGGACACCAAATGGAAATATTTCTTCTGCTGGAAAGAGATCTGTTGATGTTTCTGGACACTAATTTTTTTTTTTTTTACATTTGTCTATCATGAATTTTTTCCCACTTCCCATATAATCTCTGCTGCTCAGTGTCATGAAAATCCTTGGCTTCTTTCACATCAACTTTACTCTTCCTGAATCTCTTAAACTCATATTTTTTTCTATCCTTATCGTTCATATTATAGTACTTCTAAATCTTCTATTATCTAGTTTATTGTAGATTACTCTATAATCTCCACAGATTCATCCCCATCTCATCTCATGTTTCTTCCTAATGCAGCTCCTTTCCAAAACAAATGTATTGTTTAACAAATGTATTTCTCTCAAAGAACCTTATTTGGTTTGATTAATCTATTTGATTCATTTGTTAGGGAGGTTTGATGGGAAGAATTTGGATGCTATATTCCCTACTTCTCACACACTGAAATTACCTATACCAGTATCTCTCTTATGTTCTTCAATAGGGAAGACTTTGAAGGTGGATTCAAGAGCCACTGTTAGGTGAAGCAACAATGCAGAATGATTGAGTCAGTATCATGGGTTGGTGGGGTGGAATCACCAACCAAAGGAAGGGGGGGCAGGAAGAAATTTTGGAATTTAGTTATTTAAACATGATAAATCTCTTCCACAGCTTTTAATGTTGCTTCTGGATTTTTCCTGCTTCAAAGTAAGATAAAGTTCAGCAACATAGAAAGATGCACAGTTTTTATAATTTGAACAAAAATCAGAACACCCTATATCAAGATAGGCTTGTTCTAAAAAGGAATTGAAGACCAGAAACTAGCTAAGAAAGCAAATGGTAAAAAGTAGAGCAAAGATGCATTACTCAATTCTTGAAAAGATAAAGCATCTGAGATTGCATTCTTATTTTGTTCAGAGGGAGAGAAAATATTTAACTCTTTCAAGTCTAGATGCAATCAAGGTCTTCTTTTCCTCCTCCTCCTCTTCCTCCTCCTCCTTCTTCCTTCTTTCTCCTTTCCCTTCTCCTTCCTCCTCCTTCTCCTTCTTCTACCATTTGGGAGCTGTATAAAAATTTCCATATCATTTCCAAAGCCAGTTTGGTCTGGTGCTGAAGGTACCAGGCTAGAAACTGTGAGACTGTGAGTTCAAGTCCTACCTTAGGCTGGTGACTTTGGGAGAGTGTACAAATTTATTATTATTTGGGAGAGTGTAAGAATTTATATTGCAAAAAGGGTTTAGTCCATTTCCTCCAAATCTTGCCATCACCCATTCAAGATTCTATTTTCTAATGAAAAGTTGGAAAAGTGAAATTTATTTACAGAATGAAATAACAAATAGCCTGTAGCATATCATGGCAACAGGTTTTATCAAATCTGCTTAATAAATTGATTAGTTTTCTCTGCAAAGGACACAGAGAGACAGAGAAACCTACACACAAAAAGGTTTAATAGCAAATTCAGCAATAGCACCTCAAGACCAAACTGATTAAAATCAAGCAGCAGAGTGATGATTTTTAAAAAAGAGAATAGCAACTCGCAAAAGTCATAGGAACCGAGTTATTAAAAACTCCAGAAAATTAATTCATATTCTAATCCGGTCCTCAGATGACCACAATAATAGATGGCAAAATTGACCAAGAAAGAATTTAGCACTATGGAATTTCTTAGCCCTGGAAACAGACATGGAAAAAATGTCCAAAAATATAATTAAGAAGATTGTACCTGTCCTGGTCTAACAATTTTTCTTTGGCTGAAGAATCCTTCTGTGTGTCCACCTCTGAGATTTTACACCATTTATAGCCACTCAATGACACTGGTGGGTGTGTCTTCTAAGTGAATGGGAAATGGTTCCATAAACGGTTTGGTGTTAAGCTTTTTCTTCTTTAAGGAATGATTTAGACAATGCAAAACGTTTGTTTTGCAAGAATTTCCTCATCTGAAAGCATTAAAGAATGCTTAGTTGTATTTCCCCCTTATTATTTTGGAGATGAATTCTCATTAGAAGCATTTCAAGTGTTTGTGTGTGTGTATGCGTTTAAACTATGTGGATTCCTAATTGTGGAGAAACAGGTTTTACAATGGTCAGATTTCACAAATTGTGTGTTTTCTGACATAGATAGCTAAGTCTGTTTTATATCTCTCTGTGCATGACAAAAGTGTTTTGAGAAAGAAAACGGGTCAGCCACCTTTCTTGGAGACCATCTCTGCTCGTAATCTCACTTGGCTGGTAGCAAGTTTGCTTTAAGATTATTGTATGAAAAGAATTAGCTCATTTGGGAGAGACAAATTATAAAATTGAAGGATTTCTCCATTTTCTTGTTCTCCAAGATAGAAAAATATCAGTCAGGCCCTTTATCGTGACAAAGGTATTCAAGGGTATAATATATCTTATTGTCTTGCTCAAAATATTTTTCCTACCAGGTGCCAATTAAACTGTGAGAAGAACAGCCTCCATGCAGCCTTCTGCTTCTTACACCTACCTGAATCTAAAAGATCTAAGGATAGATCTTGAAGTTTCCTTCAAGTGACATTATTGAAACTTGGCAACAAAATGCTGAAACGGCAACAAAATGCTGGTTTTTATTTCAGTTTTTATTTTTGTTTCTGTTCTTATTGAATCAAAACTAAACACATCCAGGTTGCGTTACAGACAAGAAATCAACTTTAGCTTCACCTCTTCCATCAGCACTGCCAGGTTACGTCTTCCATGCTCCTTGGAGGCCAGAAATAAAACAACACTAAGAGGGCAATTCTGACTTTACTCACAACTAGATATTTCATTTTTAATCAAATCATTACTATTGCTTACTTTATCATGACTAAAGCTTCATTCTACTACATACAAAATACACTGGCAACCTAGGCCTGCACTACTGCCTTCCTCTTTATTCGTTTTTCTTAAAAATTTTACTTTGGAGTGGAAGCAACTTTTTCAAAATGAAATAAAATGATCTCAGGACCTCCTAGCTTACAAAGACCAACCAGCATGTTTGGGTGAATTGAGGTACTTAAGAACCAACCAGGGAATGCTGCAGATTCAAAGCAGCAAGTTGATTTACTGCCTCTAGTGAAAACATAGAAAGAAAAATTCTTGAATTCCTTAGTGTCACTGTAAAAATCCATGATGTTGTTTTCCTGAAACAAATACAAGGCTTGGTTAGGAGAGCTGCAGGATTAGCTACTTCTGTTTTAATCCATACATTAATTGTTAAAAATATTTGTTAGGAAATGATATTACCTAACTTGTTGGATTGGCAATATATAAACCTCAATATAGCTTTAAGACTGCTGTATTGCTGTATTGCATCATACTGTGTCCTGATTGGTTAGCTCTGTAGCCAATGTCCTTAAGAGGGAGCTTGAAACATCATTTGTTTCTCTTTGTTTCTCTTTGTTTCTCTTTGCTGATCTTTGCTGATCTTTATTGCTCTTTACTGCTCTTTGCTGTGTTTGCTACTGTTTGCTACTGTTTGCAACTGTTTATTGTGTATGATTACAACAACTGGTAAGAAGACTTTGTTATTGGCTTATCCCTGGACTATTGTTTTACTATCTACTGCTTTATGCGTGTATGACCTGGACTGTTTATTGGACTGTGCCTTACTATTTCCTGAAAGTAAACACAACTCAGTGTATCTTTGTGTTGGCTGTGTTTATCGTACCTACTCTCAACCACTTTTCATGTGCACACCTTGCTACTCAAGGGTTGCTCTGCGAATTCCTTAACATTGGTTATGGCCCAGGATACTGAGAGTTAGTGTGAATACACAGTACCATATTCAGACAGCTGTTTTTGTGGTTTATTGTCCAAGTGAAGATGGCACAAGAACAGTCAACCAGCATATCTCTGATAACTCGGTTGGATGGAACAAACTACTTTTCCTGGTCTATGAAGTGCAGCCTATGAACTTCTGAGTAAGGAAGGACTATGGGCTGTAGTTCATGATCCACCAGATATAACTCCTTGGAATTCAGCAGACGATGAAGATGCAAAGAAAATAGCCAAATTTAACCGGGATAATGAAAGGGCTCTTTGTATAATCGGACTGACACTAAGTGACCAGCAGCTAGTCCATATTCGTGGTGAGGAGTCTGCTGCCAAGTGTTGGGACACTTTGAAGAGGATTTATGTTCGTGATAGTGTGGGTGCACACATACACCTTACACGTAAACTATTTAGAGCTCATCTTCTGAAAGGTAGAGATATATTAGCTCATTTGGAGTTTATGAAAGGAATTTTACAAGAGCTACATGAAAAGGAGCTGATTTTCTCAGAGCTTCATCAGGTTTATATCATTCTTTCCTCTTTGGATGAAAGTTATGATGATTATGTGTCTTCACTGGAAGTCGTGGCCAGAGATAAACTGACATTGACTGGCATAACTGGAAGATTGTTAGAAGAGTCCAGAAGAAGGCAAGATAAAGACCAACTGAGAAAGAGACAACCACAGGAAGAAAACCTGTGGTTTTCTTCAACTGCCTATATTGTTAGAAAATGTTTTTGTTGTGGGGCTATAACAAGATTCTGTAAAAAGGGCAAGAAACTGAATACTGGTAGTCAACAGAGAGCTAAAAAGGATGTTAGTTTAGCTATATCCCGCTCAACTACAACTGTAAACTATGATTTGTGGGTAGTTGACAGTGGAGCATCACAATCAATAACTAATAGTAAAGAGAGGTTTGTTAAAATGACTAAGAGTAAACAACATGTATCATTAGCAAATAGATGGAAAATGAAAGTATCTGGAGAAGGTACTGCATATTGTTCATGTATAAATGAGCATTTACCTATGTTGTATGCACCTAAACTACAATTTAACCTGCTATCTGTGAAAGCAGTGTTAAAAGCTGGGTTTGTAGTAACATTTAGGGGAGATAAATGTCTGATTGAAAAAGATGGTACAAGTGTTATTGCAAAGTTAGAGAATGATTTGTTTGTTCTGAATGATGATCCATTAATCATGGCTAATGCTAACTCAGTTTACGATAACACGAAGCCACATGATGAATGCATTCACTTGCTTCATAGGCGTTTGGGACACGTAAACTTTAAGATGTTAAAGAAAACTGTGGAATTATCTGATGGGATAAAATTAAAACCTTGTAAAAAATATTTAAACTGCAATGCTTGTAACCAAGAAAAGAATAAGGTAACTCCTGCAAACAGAGTTAATGGGTTTACAACCAATGAACCTTTAGAGGTAGTGTTTGCAGATATCATTGATCCTAAAAAACCTAGTTTAGGAGGAGCCTGTTATATATTGAGTATAATAGACCATTTTTCTCGTTATGGTTTCTGTTATCTTATGAAAACCAAAGCAGAAACATTCCAGCATTTTTCAAACTGGCTGAGGTTTGCTGAGAGGAAAAAGAAACACAAGGTTCTTTGTCTGGTAACTGACAATGGTACTGAGTTTACCAATAATAGGTTTGTAACTATGTTACAGAAAGCTGGCATTGAACACAAGCTTTCTGCCCCTTATAGACCGCAACAGAATGCATATATTGAACGCAGAGGTCAAACGTTGCAGGCTATGGCTCAAATCATGCTATCTGATTTTGGTTTGCCTGAAACACTTTGGGGTGAGGCAATAATGTGTGCTAACCATATCTTGAATAACGTAGTTAATTCAACAACTGGTGAATTACCATTCACACTTTGGACCAGAATTAAGTTATTTGCACACATTTGGAGCCCCATCATGGGTTCATATTCCTTCGCAATTGAGGCGAAAGAGGCAACATAGAGCAAAGAAGCTGTTTTTTGTTAGTTATGAATCCAACCACAGGTCATATAGATTTTGGGCGCCGGGTACCACTAGTATCTACTGCAGTGCTAGTGCCAAGTTCCTGGAGCATGTTGGTTGGAGTAAGCTTGAGCAGGAATCTGACAAGGTAAATGATAGCGTTGTTGTGGATACTCAAGTGTTTGCTGATATCCCTGATAATGAAATAGTTGAGGAAGAACCTGTTACTGTAAAGGAGGAAGAGGTTATAGGGGAGGTAGAAGAGGAAATACCTATAGCAAGTCCTGAGCTGCCTAGACATTCAACTAGAGAGAAACATCCACCTGATAGGTATCAAGCAAGTGTGGTATGTCAGGTGAACATAGAGCCTTCCAACTTTAATGAAATTAAACTGTATCCTGAAAAGGATCAGGTAGCTTGGAAGAAAGCGATGGACAAAGAGCTGACATCATTGAAGGAATTAGATGTTTATGAGAACATTAGGCTACCACCAGGTGAGCATGCAATTGATTGCAAGTGGGTTTATAAACTAAAAACTGGTGTAGATGGGACTGTTACCCATAAGGCAAGATTAGTTGCTCAAGGATTTGCTCAGTCAGATAAGGACTATCTTGAAGTGTTTGCACCTAGTCTGAGGGCGACTACTTTACGAGCAGCATTAGTATGGACAGCTTAGAACAGATACAGGATAAATCATATAAATGTTGAAACTGCATATCTGCATGCGCCATTACAACATACAATCTATATGAAGAAGCCACTAGATTTGAATACTGATGGGAAGACTGATTGCTGGAGACTGAAGAAAAGTCTTTATGGCTTAAAGCAGTCAGGTTACAAGTGGAATAAATGTATTGTTAATGAGATAGTTGCTATGGATTTTGTAGCTAGTATAGCTGATCCATGTTTGTTCAAGAAAGAGAATTTATCATTTTTGTCCACCTACTGAGTCTTTCCTAAGGACATGGGATAGGCAGATGTTGTTCTTTATTGGTGTCAAAGGTATCATCACAGGATGTAAATTGTTCCAAGATGAACTGCTTTTTGCAATTGACTGATGGTGATTTTGTCAATTCCTATGGTGTTCAGACTAGTTGTTTTGGGATTGCACCCAAGGCACCTATTACTATTGGTACTGCCTTTGCTTTATTTTTCCACAATCAGTCTACTTCTATTTGCAGGTCTTTGCTTATTTGTTTGTTTAATTTATATGCCACCCAGCACATCGATAAAGCAATGAATACAATTCCATTTGTATTACAATTGCTGGGCACAGTTTACATATTTGAACTTGGTATCAAGCTTTAGTAATTGTTGTTAGTTTCTATTTGAGTCCTAATTCCAGATATTTAATTCTGCCTTGCTGTGTGATATAGTATATTTAAGGGAGTCATTCTTACTTCAATTTAAGTTCAAGTTAAAATTCTATTCTGGAAATTTCCCATTGTAGCTTATTTTCCAAATGTAGTCTCCCAAGTAGGATTAGCCATTACTGTTTACATGGTTTACAAGCTATACTGTATTTATTTCTACATTATTTCTTTCCCATATTAAGAAGAAATTTATTGCTAATCATCTTGCCAAGGTAAACTAGCAATAACAGAAACTGAACAAATCAGAAACACTTCATTAAAAAAATATCTTCACCACAAACCATTTTTTCATAAGACATCTAAAGCTACAATTTCATTTTATTGTGATAAGTATATCACCATAAACAAGGGTGGGGAGCATTGATTTGACAATGACAGTATCTATGCTTTCTCTGGAAAATCAATCAGAATAGAATAGAGCTGGAAGGGACCTGGAAGTCTTCTAGTCCAACCCTCTGCTCAAGCAGGAGACCCTATACAATTTGAGACAAGTGGCTGTCCAGGCTCTTTTTTAAAACCTCCAGTGATGAAGCACCCACATCACCCTTTATCTTTAATGTTAACCTATTCATTTCCACACAATCTAATATTTTTTTTAATTATATTTCCTCATTTTTCCAATGTTGTGTAAATGTCTCGCAGCCGTCAAAACATGCAATATTAAATATACATTCCCTTTATTATATTTTTCTGACAAAATACCTAACAAGAATATTTCTGGCTTTAAATCTATATGTTGCCTCTATGTTTTTTCTAGCCATGTATGTATTTTCATCCAAAAATTTTTTTGCCTTTGAGCAGGTCCACTACAGTATGGTAGTACAAGCCTGGCATCTGGTTGCATTTCCAACATTCGGCGGATATGTTTTTAAAAATCTTTGCTAGCCTTGCCACTGGCAAGTGCCACCTGTAGAACATATTATACAGGTTTTTCTTGTATTTAGTTGCCATTGTGAATTTATAGTTTCTAACCCAAAGTATTGCCTTTTATCTAATTCTCTAGTATACCCAAAAAAAATTTGCCCATGTTATCATTGTTTCTTTCACTTGTTCATCTTCCATTTTAAGGCTTAATTAATAGCTATACATTTTCTTTATTAACTTTTCATCCACACCTAATAGTATTGATCAAGTATTGTTGGCTCTTTATAGAAACCATCTATCTTTACATCTTTTTCATATCTGGATTGTATTTGCAAGTGTGGCCACGATGCGAGGACCACCCCTTGATTTTGCAATTCCTATTTACTTTTAAGTTCCCCTTTCTCATTTAAAATATCTTTATATGTTATACATTTTCCCAAGTTTACCACATTTGGACGTTTCAGTACTTCCATTGTTGAAATCCAGACTGGTATTTTCATATAATTTTTTGCTTTAACTTTTTCCCATACTAGACGTAGAGTGTTCCTTACATAATGTCTTTGAAAGTATCTATGTATTTTATTTTTGTCATATCACAGAAAGGCATGTCATCCCAGCTGGAAATCATGTCCCTCCAGCAATAACAATCTTCTATTTCTAAGATTTATCCATTCCTTCACCCAAGTTAGTGCCAAGGCCTGATAGTAGAGCTCCCAATCCGGCAGACCAAAGCCCCTGTTGTTTTTTGATTCTTGCAACATTTTCAGTCTTTTTCTCACTATTTCAAGATTATTGCGTTTAGTTCATCAAAATATCTTTTCTCTACCTTTACAGGAATTGTTTGAAACAAGAACAATAGCTTTGGCAGTACATTCATTTTTATGGTTGCTATTCTTCCTACCATTGACAACTGCAGATTTTTCCAGTTCTCCAAGTCCACTTTTATTTGTTGTATTAATTTGTATAATTATCTTCTTTAATTGTTGCACATCTAGCTGTTAAGTAGATTCCCAAGTATTTTACTGTCTTGACTACCTGAAGGTCTGTTTTCTTTGTCATTTTTCTGTTTATCTGTAAGATTTTTAACTAGTATTTATGTTTTGTCTTTATTTATTCTCAATCCTGCCACTTCTCCATATTCCTCTATTTTTCCCATTATCTTAGGGCCAGTTTCCAATGGTTCTTCTAGTACAAATACCAACTACAATGCTTGTAGTTTATATTTTTCTCTTTTTATTTCCAGACTTCTTATTTCTGGATCTTGTCTAATGCCTCTATTTAACACTTCCAGTGTTAATATGAATAGTAATTGGGACAGCGGACATCCTTGCTTTGTGCCTTTTTTTTTATATTAAAATTTGCCATCGAGCCCCATACACTATCACTTTTGCCATTTGTATGGAGTATATTGTCTTAATCATGTTTACAAACTTCTTGCCACAGTCCATACACTCTAATTGTTGGAACATAAATTGCCAATTTACGTTATCAAATGTTTTCTGTGCATCTAAGAAAATCAATGCCATTTGTTTTTCAAAGTGTACTTCATAATATTCCAGCGTATCTAAAATAAACCTTACATTATTCTTAATTTGTCTTTTGGGTAGGAATCCATTTTGATCTGAGTGAATAAATTCATTCAAGAATATTTTTAATCTTTCTACTATTATTGATGCAAATAGTTTTTAGTCTGCATTTAGTACTGATATAGGCCTATAATTCTTTATCTGTGTTAAGTCTGAATCTTTCAGAATTAATGTTATATTTGCTTCTATACACGAATTTGGTATCTTAGCTTCTAACAGAACTTCATTGTAAATCTCTAACATCGACAAATTTAATGAATCCTGTAAATATTTATAAACTTCTGCAGGTAATCCATCTGGTCCTGGTGCTTTATTGTTCTGTTGTCTATTTATCGCCTCTGTTAATTCTATCATTATTATTCTTTCATTTAACATTGCTTTCATATTTTCAGACATTTTTGGAAATTTAGCTTTTTCTAGATATTGCTTTATCTTCTCCACTGAATTTTTTTCTTGATCATATAATTTCCCATAAAACTCCTGAATTATTTTCTTTTTAATCCAATTTTGGTGTTGTAGGATCCCTCTCATCTTGTAATTTATTTATCAGTTTCTTCTCTTTTTTCTTTTTCAGTTTATATGCTAGCCATCTTCCTGGTTGATTGGCATTTTCAAAATTGTTTTGTTTTCCTCTTTTAATTTGTTGTTAATAGGTTATGGCTCAGTGGTGGTATTCAAATTTTTTTACTACTGGTTCTGTGGGTGTGGCTTGTTTGGTGGGGTGTGGCTTGGTGGTCATGTGACTGGGTGCACATGGCTTGGTGGTCATGTGACTGTATGGGCATGGCTTGGTCATGTGACTCGGTGGTCATGTGAGTGGGTGGTGTGGCTAAGTGGTCATGTGACTGGGTGGGCATGGCTAGGTGGTCACGATCCTAGTTCCCTCTACAAGGATTCCTGCATCCAGACCTTTTGTAATCCCCCAAAGGATCATAGAAAACCAGATTCCATACAGCTCTGAACCCTTAAGGCAAACCAAATACAGGTGGTCCTCCTTAATGGCCAGTTGCTTAGCAAGTGTTCAAATTTACGATTGACCTCCCCAGAACTACTTGACTTGTTTTTGGAGTTTTGACAGCCATGCACACACACAAACACATTTATGACCAGTTACAACATCCCACACACTCATGTGACTGAGGTTTTCTATGTTTTTGCCAGTTTCCAATAATTCCTTCTGGTTTCCGTTTAAAAATGCCCATTGGGAAAATGGACTTGTTTAACAACCACAGTGTTTGCTTAAGACCACAAGGTTCACTTAACAGCCATGGTGTTTGCCTAACTCAGGAGTCTGCAACCTTAAACACTCAAAGAGCCATTTTTAAATTTTCTTTTAAACAGGTATCTCTCTCTGTCTCTCTTTTCTCCCTCTCTCCCCCTATGTCTCATCTCTTTCTCCCTCTCTCTCTGTCATCTCCTTTCTCTTTTTCTCTCCTTTCTCTCATCTTTCTTTCTTTCTCCCTGTTTCTCATCTCTCTCTCTCTTCTCATCTCTTTCTGTGTGTGTGTGTGTGTCTGTCTTGTCTTTCTCTTCCCCCCCCTCTCTGTCTCGTCTCTCTCTCTCTCTCTCTTTCCATCCCCCCTGTGTGTCTCTTGTCTCTCTTTCCCTTCCCCCCTCTCTTGTCTCTCTCTTTCTCATATCACAAAGCAAAGACGCACAGTCGCACACTCACGATGCACATACCTCATGATGTGCGTGTTTGCTCACACACGCACAAGGCCAAGAAGGAGAAGACTTGGCCTAACTTTGGAAGAGCTTTGCCCAAGACTTCTCGTGTATTCAGGGGCTAGCCTACCTCTCTCAAAGATGAGTTTGGTGGCAATCTAAGGTAAAAACTTCCAGGTCTTCAAGATCGACTTTAAGAGTGCAGAGAAGCCGAGAGCAAAAGTAGTGGTGGCGAGGGCGACAGGGACATGTGACATGTCCCACCACGGTCCCCTCCCAGATGACAGCAGGGCTTCGCCTCCTCTTTTCCTCAGAGTCGTGGTTCTGCCTCCAAGTCCTTGCGGAGGGACACAAACACACCTCTGTCGCCCCTTCTGCTGGCTGCCTCTAATCTGCAGTTTATTCGTGAGCACGTTTACTCATGAGCATGGTGCACCTCGCAGGCAGCAAAAGAAATTGCTGCCTCCTGCCTCCGTGCATCGAGGAGGCTGAGCGCTGCTAGAAGAGCACAGACCTCCTGACACAGGAAACGGCTGCCAGCAATGCCCTCAGGTGAAGATGTTGTGAGTGGAGAGGCTCAGCCCCGCTTAGGAGCCTCAGTTTATTAGTGAGCACTATTGGCCTTTCTCCCTGCCTCTCCTGCCCAAAGTGCAGCTAGGATCTCCCATGTGCTTCCCTCGCAGGCCAGGCCGGCTTGGGGAAACACACGGGAAGAGCTCTGGTGCTTCAATCTCCCACGCATTCCCCTCCCTCCCTGCGTGCATTGGTCCACCCGCCGCTGGTATCACCCCTCCACCAGCTCTCCCTCCCCCACCCACCCACCAGTCCATGCCCTTCGGCCTTACCTTTGCCAGCAGCAGTTAGCAGAAGTATGTGGCTAGATTCTGCAAGTAGTGGCTGGGCAGGGCGGTCAAGCATTGGGTGGGCAGGGTTAGCAAGCAGGGACCGGCGACCAGCAAACCACACCAAATTTCCACTAACAGTTCTCCCGAACCGGTGCGAACCGGCTGAATGCCACCTTTGTATATAGTTAATCCCCTAATATATGCTTTGGCAGTATCCCTACTGTGGTAATTTTCAATGCAGTATATAGGTAATGTTAATTATAATAGGAGAGAATAAGTATGCAATTCTTCAGGAATTAAAATATGAACCTCACCAATATCACTAGCTGAGGCTCACCAGTAGTTGACTTCAGACAGCTCAAGGCCTTGGTTTTACCAGTGAGTCCCATAAAGATGGGTCGGTTTTTAAAATCTAAGTTGTCATTGGGGACCACAGCCATCAACTGCTCTGCAGAACAATAACAATATAGATGAGTCAACAAAAATAGAGAAAAGCATCTTTATTTGGAAGTGGAGTTTTGAATGAGAAGCTGTTGGAGGAAAAATGTCAATAAAACTTTTATAAGCTATCAAATAAACCATAAAGCAAATATTAGTTTTAAGGTGTTCATTAGGTCCTGAGTTATTCTATGCCCACGCTGATAAATTTTCAGATCATATGGTAGCTTGCAGCTTGTGCCCATTATTACATCTACAATACTAATAACATGTAAATACTGTAACAAGACCTTTATTGATCATAAGAAGCATTGATCTTTCTGCACTGGGGATCTTTCTCTTTGGATCATCCATCTGGACTATATAATTCCTTTCCCACAAGAGATGTGGGTCTCAGATTATAGTGACATGTTTCAACCCACCAGTCATTTGATGTAATTGCTATTTCCCTAAACAATCAATCAAGAGGTTCTGTGAGTTTTGTTGTTGTTTCTTTCTTCTTCTTCTTTTTTGCACAGTGAGATTTCCAGCAAGACTATTTGGATTAGATTTTAAAATATCATCTAGTCTCCAATGTTGGAATACTTGTCTGTATTTTAATTGCGAGATTGCTCCCTATAGTTCTGGACTCAGAATTTCTTGCAATATATACCAGAAATATTATTTTGGACTTTGGTTAGTTAGTTGACTGTTTCCATAATAAGTCTTCAATAAAACCAGGGAGATAAATATTAAGTTCTTTATATTATCCCCTAGGATTGGAAAAAGTCACTAGAAAATAATTTGAAATATCACCCTTCTTGTCCACTGTTGTATTAGTCTTTAGCCTTTAGTCTTTACCAATAGTGATCTCCTGATGACCAGGATGAGCCCGAAGGAGGGGTCAAATGTATTATAAGTCTTGAGTCCCTGTACACCCAAAAGAGATCTAAGTCCAGCCCACCTTTAATACTTTCTTATTCTCACTTATTTCCATTGACCATTAGTAGATCAGATTCCTATAGAGAGCTTAAGGTTGCAATAAATCTTTATACTCATTTGAACTGCCCGAATCTCCTGATTTCCCTGGCACTTGACAAACAATAGCTTTTAGGCTTATATACCTGCCCACAGTGCTTTACAGCATTCTCTGAGTGGTTTACAAGGTAGAAGCATTATCTGCATATTGCTCCCAATGCTCTGAGTCCTCATTTTACCAACCTTGAAAGAATGGAAGACTGAGTCAGCCTTCAGCCCCATCAGGATCAACTCCAGGATGTGGGCAGTTTGCCTGCAATACTACACTTTAACCACTGCACCACTAGGGCTCTTCTCAAGCCTTATCAAAATTTCAAGTTGACTTGGAATTTGGACCTTCTTGGTTTTGTTTTAGTTTTTTTGAAATTGAACTGGGTAAGCAAAAATGTTTTTCAAAGAAAAAAAACTAAGGAAATCCAGTTGAAAAAGGGCACCTTTGGAACATCCAGAATTTATTATTGTGATCAGAGTTGGCCCATTATCTTTTTGCAAACAGCATAAAGAAAAGTTTGAGGATTACTAAAGTACTAATGTTGCTTTTTAATACCTGGTGTCCTAGAATCCAGTGGGGTTGCTATCAGGTCATTGTTCTCAAAGACGAAATATTTCTGTTCGATATCCCACATTCTAAAGTTCCATGGGTCTTTCACAGCTTCTTTATCTGGAAGACACCGCTATGAGTGAATAGAGATATTTAAAATGATGAAAATACATAAGATATTAGCATAGAAAGAAGGTGTCAGTAGAAGAAAATGCAGGTAGTCCTTGACATACAACAGTTCATTTGGTGATTGTTTAAACTTACAACAGCACAGAAAAAAGTGGCTTATGACCGCTTTTCACATAATTCAGTGCCATATCCCCACACTCATTTGATCAAAAGATCAGACACTTGGCAACTGGCTCATATTTATGACAGTTGCAGTGTCCTGGGGTCATGTGATCACTTTTGTGACCTTCTGACAAGCAAAGTCAATGGGGAAGCCAGATTCACTTAACAACCATGTTACTAACTTAGCAACTTCAGTGATTCCCCTAACTACAGCAAGAAAAGTCCTAAAATGGGACAAAACTCACTTTAAAACTGTCTCTCTTAACAACATAAATTTTGGGCTTAATTGTTGTAAGTCAAGGTCTACCTGTATATAATTTAATGGATTTTCCCCTTCCTGCTTCTGCATGTTCACCACTCTGCTGTTGTATAAAGGAAGCCAGGAAAACCTGCTCTTCATCCAGGCCTTTGATGAGAAGAGAGACCCCACATGTCATCATACTTGGCATCCTTTATCTTTATTGTTTATGTTTTATTGAATTGAACGTACAGTAATTGATTGGATTGTTTTGAGCCACCCAGTCATTGGGATTCAGCAGCAAGTTTAATAAATTATGGTTGGTCACACAATCAACCAGATGTTTAGGCTGGATTTGGCACTGTTGTTTACCTGTCAAGTTCTTTCCAAGGTCCATTATTATTATTATTATGGTTAATCGCTTAGTCAGCCAGACATTTAGACTGGGTTTGGCATTTTTATCTACCTGTCAAGTCCCTCCCAAGGAGCTGGGAGAAGCAGATGTTATTGTCTGATGGTGTTAAAGATATTGTTGCAGGATATTTTATTTTATTTTTATTTGATTTGATTTAATTTCTATACCATCCTACTCCCGAAGGACTCAGGGCGGTACACAGCCAAACAATAAAACACATACATACAAAATTTAAAAGTAGAATAAAATCAAATTAAATAATTTTGGCCCCGACAAATTTAAAACCCCAAACTTTTAAAACCAATTTAAAATTGAATGTATAAAATACTAAAAGATATTTAAAAATTAAAAATCTTTTATAAAAGAGGGAGAAAATTAGGCCAGGCCCGCCTGGTGAAATAGTAAGGTCTTTAAAGCATGGCGGAAGGTGCGCAGATCCGGGATCCTCCGTATCTCTGGGGGGAGCTCGTTCCAGATAGTAGGTGCCCCCACAGAGAAGGCTCTCCCCCTGGGGGCCGCCAGTCGGCATTGTTTGGCTGACGGCACCCGGAGGAGCCCCTCTCTATGGAAGCGTACCGGCCGGTGGGAGGCTATTGGTGGTAGTAGGCGGTCCCGCAAGTACCCAGGTCCTAAGCCATGGAGCACTTTAAAGGTGGTAACCAAAACCTTGAAGCGCACCCGGAAGACCACCGGGAGCCAGTGCAGCTCGCGCAGGAGAGGTGTCACACGGGAGCGCCATGTCGCTCCCATTACCACCCGCGCAGCCGCATTCTGCGCCAGTTGGAGCCTCTGGGTGCTCCTCAAGGGGAGCCCCATGTAGAGAGCGTTGCAATAGTCCAGGCGGGAGGTGACAAGGGCATGAGTGACCGTGCGTAACAAGTCCCGATCCAGAAAGGGACGCAACTGGCGAATCAGGCGAACCTGATGAAAAATCCTCCCAGTCACGGCTGTCAAGTGCTCTTCTAAAGACAGCCGTGAATCCAGGAGGACGCCCAAGTTGCGAGCCCTCTCCGTGGGGGCCAATGATTCGCCAATAGTCAGTGATGGCGTCAACTGACTATATCGGGACGTCGGAAACCACAGCCACTCGGTCTTGGATGGGTTGAGCCTGAGCCTGTTCCTCCCCATCCAGATCCGTACGGCGTCCAGGCACCGGGACATCACTTCAAGGGCATCGTTGGGGTGATCCGGGGTGGAGATGTACAGCTGGGTGTCGTCAGCGTACTGATGGTACTCCACCCCGAAACCACGGATGATCTCGCCCAGCGGCTTCACATAAATGTTGAACAGGAGAGGCGAGAGGACCGACCCTTGTGGCACCCCACATATGAGGGGCCTCGGGGTCGACCTCTGTCCCCCTGTCAACACAGACTGCGACCGGTCAGAGAGGAAGGAGGAGAACCACCGCAACACAGTGCCTCCCACCCCTAACTCTTCCAACCGATGCAGCATGATACCATGGTCGATGGTATCAAAAGCCGCTGAGAGATCTAACAGGACCAGGACAGAGGAGCACCCCCTGTCCCGAGCCCTCCAGAGATCATCAACCAACACGACCAATGCCGTTTCCGTGCTGTACCCGGGCCTGAAGACCGACTGGAACGGATCCAGATACGTCGTTTCATCCAGGTGCTGGGGGAGCTGTTGCGCGACCACACTCTCAACAACCTTCGCCACGAAGCGAACGTTGGAGACCGGACGATAATTTACCAACATTGCCGGGTCCAGGGAAGGCTTCTTGAGGAGAGGCCTCACCACCGCCTCTTTCAAGGCGGCGGGAAAGTCACCCTCACCCAGCGAAGCGTTTATAATCCCCTGGAGCCAGCCTCGTGTCACTTCCTGGGAAGCCAGTACTAACCAGGAAGGACACGGGTCCAATAAACAAGTGGTCGTGTTCAGTCTACCCAGAATCCTGTCCACGTCCTCAGGGGTCACAGGATCAAACTCATCCCAGATAACATTCTCAAGACCTGCCCCTGTCTCTCCCCCTGAGACTACCCAGTTGGAGTCCAAATCTTCCCGAATCTGAGTGATTTTGTCATACAGATACTGAACAAAATCCTCGGCTCTACCCTCCAAGGGGTCCTCCCGCGCTTCCTGATGGAGCAGGGAGCGGGTCACCCTAAAGAGGGCGGTCAGGCGATTATCTGATGACGCAATAAGAGCAGCAAAATAGCTACATTTCGCTGCTTTTATCGCCACTAAGTAATTCCTAATGTGGGATCTTACTAGTGTCCGGTCAGATTCAGAAAGACTGGCCCTCCAACTACTCTCTAGGTGTCTTTTCCGGCGCTTCAACTCCCTCAGCTCCTCGGTAAACCAAGGAGCCAATTGAGATCGGCGCCGGGTCAGAGGCCGCAAAGGCACGACCTGATCCAGAGCTCCAGCAGCCGCCCTATCCCAGGCGGCCACCAGGTCTCCAGTCGAGGCGTGTGCCAGAACCTCAGGAAATGGCCCAAGCTCTGTCTGGAATCTGTCAGGTTCCATCAGGCGCCTGGGGCGGAACCATCTTACCGGCTCTGCCTCCCTGCGGCGGGGTGCAGCAGTTCAAAAGTCAAGACGAAGGAGTGATCTGACCATGACAAGGGTTCAGTAACTATATCCCCTATCTCAAGATCCCTCGACCACTGTCCAGAGACAAAAACCAGATCCAGCGTGTTTCCCCCTGTGTGGGTAGGGCCATGAATTAACTGGGTCAGGTCCATAACTGTCATGGAAGCCATGAACTCCCGAGCCATCTCCGACGTCTCCCCCACGGACGGCAGGTTGAAATCCCCCATGACCATAAGCCTAGGGGTATCAACCGCCACCGCGGCGATGATGTTGAGTAGCTCGGGCAGGGCTGTTGCCACGTGGCAGGGAGCCAGGTACGTGATCAGCAAACCCATCTGAACCCCATGACCCCATTTCACAAAAAGGGATTCACAGCTGGCCGTCTGAGGAACAGTGGCCTCCCTCGGTCTCAGACCTTCTTTAATGATAACCACTACCCCCCCCACCCCTCCCCTGTGACCTCGGCTGATGGAATGCTTGGAAACCTGGCGGGGACATTTCAACGAGGGGAACCCCCCCTCCTGGCCCAACCAGGTCTCCGTAATACCTGCCAGGTCCGCACCCCCCTCCTGAACAAGATCACAGATGAGGGGGGCTTTATTTACTATGGACCTGGCATTGCACAGCATCAGCCGAAGGCCTGGGTCCTGAGGGTCTAGGATATAACCTGTTCTAAGGAAAGCTGCCTTTTGTAATTGACTGGTAGTGATTTTGTCAATCCCGATGGCTTTTATTATGCACCATCTTGCAAATATTTTTCACATTCATGGCTCGAAGCAAATTGCAAAGACACTGAATATAATTACAAATATGCATATTGCTATTTCTCTTGACCCATTTAGTCTAAATCTTTCAATTGTTAAGAAACTGCAATGTAGCAATTTATTAAATTCCCAGTTCTAATATGTTCATCTTGCAATGAAACTGTGGGCATGCACAGCCAAAGAAGGTTTTAGATTGCAATCCTAATTGCAATCCTAAAGTTGCTATTTACCTTTAAATTCACAGAATAAATCTTCCAATTCCCCATCCACGATTCTCTTCTGCAGTTCCATCTCAATAGTTACTGAGTAACTTACTCAAGCAATTACTGCTGTCTGTCTCTGTGATCACCTTTCAGGCGATTAGATGTCTCTTTTGCAGTTATAGTTACAATCCTAGAAGAAGCAACTGGAAAAGATTAGCATTACATTCATGATAAGAAGAGAATTAGAGTCCACAATCATTCTAAGCAAAAAATGACAAGAGATCAAGTGTTTTGCTGCTTATGGATAGAAACCAGAGCCAGGAAGACTGGTTTTTAAGAAGAGAATGAAGGCAATATACTACTTTATTGTTGTCCTAGGATTGTTTGGATTTGTATTTCTTACTATGGCTTTGCAGAAGGGGGAGTAGGGAAATAAAATGCTTTAGATAAAGAATGAAAGGGAAAAGGGGAAAAGGGGAAGGGGAGGGGGGAAAAGAGGAAAAGGGGGGGAGGAAAAAAGAGGCAAAAGAGAAAAGAGCCTGAATTAAAAAGCTACAGGACAAAAAATCAGCTTAGTATCTAGATTTGTGGACATGCCCACAGTCAACTGAAATAGTCTTGTCTTCCATAAAACTAGAAAACTTCTGGCCTATCTAAATAACTTTTGACCTTCATATTTCCAAGAGAAGGATTGAAAACGGTTCTGCTAACTTAAGTTCCCCTTTTGCATGACATGAGTAGATTTTTCTTCTTGGTTATTGTAGGCAAGTAATGGTCCTATTCTGGAATTTCTCTCCAAACTAACTGCCTACTATCATCTCTAACCCAACATTGTCTGTAGCAAGAGTGGGAAGTTAGAACTGTGCACCCTGAAACTGAACAGCAAACATCAAAATTTGATAGGCATTGAGGCTTTTTTTATTTGTTATTGAAATAAGAAACAAAACGGGTAAACCCAATCTTAATGTCCTTGTTTTGTTTTTAAAAAATCCATTTAAACATTCCCAAACTAAGAGGTCAAACAAAACTGCTATTTTTCCTGAGGGGGTTAGAAGCTGTGGGGAACATTTGCCTGGTTTACAACTGAATTTCTTGTAAAGTCAGAATCAAGAAATTAACTTTTCCAGTATCTCCCCTTGAAATTTTCCTTCAGGTGCATCTTTTAAAAGAAAGGCACATTTGGTGGCCTAATGCTTATGCGCAGTTTTGCGTGGGACCCCAGAAAAAGTCACTCTTTGGTAGCATTTTTTTTAGTAGAGTTCTGAAACTCTTAACAAAATTTCCTAAAACCTTACACTTTCAGGTGAATTCTCCTGCTTTAAAGTCATAGGAGAGTGGGTTAGCAATTTCATAATCTTTTGCAAGGCTCACCTGCGGAAAAAGCTGTCATTCATAGTATTTCTGGGACAAAGCAGTTCTCTTTCTTCTTGTGCGGTTTTTAGACATACAGAGAGAAATTTATTGGGTGAGGCATTTGGCAATTGTTTTCAAAGCACTATTTTCAAAGACAGCTAAATTGGTAGGAGATATGCCAATCTGCTACAAAAAAACCCTAACCGTCATCACTGGAGAATAGAATGAGTTTTCTTTTCAGACACTTGCATAGGTGACAGCCTTGCTTATGCATTCAAATAGGATATTTGTAGTCTAGTAATTATTATATATTATATTATATTATATTATATTATATTATATTATATTATATTATATTATATGTATTATATTGGTATTATATTATATTATTAAGATTACAAGGGCTGAAGCAAACCCAGCAAGTTTAGTGGGTGAATAAAATGAAGGGTTATTATCTTTCATCTCATCTCATCTCTTCAAATATAGTTAAGAGGATGAAATGGAGGGGGCTATGCACTTTAATCATTTCCTACTAATAGCTGATACTATAGCATTAATATCTAAGAATCATAGTGCCAAAATATGAGATATATAATATAAAATAAAATGAGATCACTGTATCTTCAATGATAGCAGAGTGATGCTATGAAGCTAAGAAGATGTTGTAATGGGAAACCATCCTTTATTAAGAAATCCATTCCCACAACCTTATTGGTTCCAAAATAAAAATCCAAAGACATCTTTAAATAAGGAACTGCATAGATAGTCAAGTTTCCATTTTGCCTTTCAAATGTTTCCCAAACTTTACAAAATATAGTTCACCCAATTTGGCTGTCCCGCATGAGATGCTTAGGAGCATCAAGGTGGGTTGGAGAGAGATTGATTGAAAAGTGGTGCCTGTCAGGGAGGGAGACTTAGAAAGTTCTTCTGGTTCTATTTTCCCCCCAGTTCTATGGCATCCTTTTAAAAGAGAGCCAGGGATCAAGGGATTGGATTAGAAACCAGAAGACTGTGAGTTCAATTCCTGCTCTAGGCACAGAAGTTAAGTTGGATGACCAGTCCCTCTCTCTTTCATAGTCTTAGGAAGAAGGCAGTGACAAACCACTTCTGAAATCTTGCCAAGAGTTACCAGGGCTTGTCCAAGAGTTGCCAGGAATCAAAACCAATTCAAAAGCACACTCACAGCATCCTTTAATCTTGCTTGAGATATTTGCTCCATAAGACAGGGTGGTGAATCCTGTCTAACACCTTCCATCTAAATTAAACCCTCTGCATTTCCTATTAAAGATTTAGACTGGGAAAAATTAGAGGACTCTTTGATTTTCCGTCTCACAATCAAAATGATTGCATAAATGGAAGAGAGTAATCTGAATATTAAAAAAGAAAAAGGTAATAGGAAAGATAATGGGAACTAATTAATAACAATACCTGAAGAGAAAGATCTGAACATTTAAAAAAAGAAAAAAGAAAGATAATAGGAACTAAAGAAAATAGTACCTGAGCTGATCAAATGAGTCCTGTTCCACTCTATGCTTTCTTTCACTTTGGGTTTTGCCATGGTTTTGCATAAGGTTTTAACAGCTTTCCAGTAGTTAAAGTTCATTAATAAGTTGCAGTTTCAGGGTTAGGCACAGTTTAGGCAAACTTAGCAGGAAGTTTCCTTCCTATAAAATAAGAAGTTCAATGTACTTTCTGCCAACTTTTACTATTTAACTTACCAGGACTTTATATAAACAAATGTATATAAAGATAGGGCAATTTGTCATGGTGTGCTTGTAAGCCTTGACTGCTTCCCTGAGATTCCTCAATGGATATGCCTCAAGTTATGATGTGTAGAACATGAGACTTCACACAATGATTCTTGTAAAATGGCTACGATAAACCAAGTAAATTAAACTTGTTTATAAATTAAACTTGTTTATTTTTCATATACCATTACAAAAAACATAAAAGCAATGCTATGAAACTCCTGGACAATTACATATTGATTGATTGATTGATCATCCAACATCATTTGGAGTTAGCTTCAAACGAACTCATCAGTAGAGTAGGCTAGTAGTAGTAGGTGATAGGGACATCAAGAGTATAACAGAATAACAGAGTTGAAAGGGATCTTGGAGGTCTTCTAGTCCAACCCCCAGCTCAGGGAGGAAACTCTATAGCATTTCAGACAAATGGCTGTCCAATCTCTTCTTAAAAGCCGCCAGTGTTGGAGCATTCACAACTTCCAGACATGTTTTTCCACTGATTAATTGTTCTGTCAGGAAATTTCTCCTTAATTCTAAGTTACTTCTCTCCTTGATTAGTTTCCGTTGATTGCTTCTTGTCCTGAGTTCAGGTGCTTTGGCAACTGGTTGATGCCCTCTTCTTTGTTGGATCTATAGTAGGCTGTGATTCCAATGAACTCTCCCCACCAACCCCTTTCAGGTTCCACTGGTATGAAATAAATAAAATGATGTAGGAAATGACCAGGCCGGAACCCGAGGGAGGGGGTCAAATGTGTTATTGCCCTTACAAACAACTGCAGAGGTCTGCAAAATTCACCCAATTTCCCTTCCCCGCTCCCCACAATTCTCTCCCCCTCCCATCCTGTGTTTGCAGTGCCTTTATCCTGCTCCCCCACCCTTTCTACCACTACCAGTTCACCTGGAAGCCAGTGAAAAGCCATCCTCTCCATTTTTAAGTGACCGTTTTGCAAGGAAACAAAGCTTCCAGCCCACATCAGTTCTCTGTTTGGGTGAAAAGTGTTTGGGTGCCTATGGGATGCTTAGAAATTGATCCATCTGCTCCATTTCCAAGAATCCCATAGGTGCCCACACACTTTTTGCCAGGTGGAGAACTGATGCGGGCTGGAAGCTTCATTTCCTAGCAAAAGGGGTGCTTAAAAACGGAGTGGATGGCTTTTCACTTTTCCAGCCAAAGTGTTCTGGTGGTGGCAGAAAGGAGTTGGGGGGGGAGGAGCAGGAGAAAGACACTGCTAACACTTTTCCTGCCCAGAATGAAAGTTTCTGGGGTCACTGATCTCATGAGAGTTCAGGCACTCAGTCTCTGCAAAAGAGGATAGGTGCCTGAACTCATGCGATATTGCGGCACCCAGGAGCTTCCATCGACTCTCCTCTACCTCAAAAGCACAGAAACCACGGCACAGAGGAGACAGATCTTGTGAGTCCAGCGTGCAAGAAGGGAAGGGGAAGCATGAGGTACCTTAGTGGGTTGGGGAGTCCTTGGGGGCCTCTTCCATCACTAGCCCCCCCCCCCCCATGGCCTTCCCCATCCTGAGATACCTCATGTGCACTTAACGAACCGTGCATGTGATTAGTGAATGCATGGGCGGAAAGCAGGGAGTGATTTCATACAAGCTATGAGATTCATTCCTACGAATCCTCAAGGTACTAATGGAATGAGCAGGCTCCATTACTTTGTAATTTAAGGATTACCTGTAAACCCATATTTGTTTGAAATGCCTGGACTCCTGATTTCCCATGTCGACAAGTTCATCTTAATAATGACCTTCACTGTTTTCTTTTTCAGTCAGAGGTCTACTTGATAAGGACAGAACACCAGATACTTCTTCAGAATAGTTTTTTTTTAAAAAAATACTTTTTATTGAAAAGTTTAACAATACTAAAATAATATAAACTAAATGTCATGGTTCTGAGAAATACTCCCAACCAATTCAATTCTTAGGCCTTGGCTTCCTCAAAAATCCTGTTTATTAGGTACATCATATTGACAGGTCAGAGGTGAAACCAACACTGAATAAGTCCCATGTTTTTGGTATAATTAAAGAATAGATACTGGCCACCCACCTTGTATCACAGGTCATTTTAGCCAACCAAGCAGGTGATGGACTTCTCAGCTCTCCTTCCTGCTGTTGCTAAGGCACGTTGATCTGGCCTTGGTTCTCAGGAGCCTTATTATTGTTATGTCCGGAACATTGGAGGAAAACATTCTACATTCCATAAGTCGTCCCTCCCCCCCGCCCCCCGGCAACTAAGAAATGGAGCAAGAAAATTATGGCTTCAGCTAGAGTCATTTTGAGAGTTGACAGTCGGCTCCCCTTACATGGAAAAGAGCATCTGTAGAATATGAATCACAAACAGAAATAAAACTCCTTTCAGTTATCCCTCTGCCCTCCCCCCCATATCTGTTGACATTTTGGGTTTTTGAGGGTTTTTATCATGGAATTTCTTCACTAGCCAGTCTCTTCTCACATCAGTGCCCTTAACTCAGGTGGCCTCTGATAAAGCATACCCTTTCCATTGCACTAAATATTGCAACTTCCCCTTGTGAAGCCGAGTCTAAAATCCGCTTTACTTCATAATGGGTCTCTCCTTCCACCACTATGAGCTTTCGTGCCACTGAAGCTATCGGTCTCAGTTCAGAATCGACTACCGGTTTTAAGAAGCTATTCTGGAACCAGGTGCACCTTCCCCAAAAGAAGGGGGCAACTAAGAAATTAAGTAAGAAAATTATGGCTTCAGCTAGAGTCGTTTCAAGAGTTGACACTAAAACGAAAGAGAAAAAAAATAGAAAACAAATGCAAAGTGCAAAAACAGAAAGAAAAAAGCAAAAGAAAGGAAAGAAAAAATATTTAGAAAAAGGAATATTCAAGACCAGATTCCCAATATTCCCTGCAACAAGTTCAGGCAAATATAATATTGCCCCATACCCATAAGATTATATACACATTTCACTGTTCCCATAATATCCCACCCTTATCCATTCACAAATCCAACAATCATCCATTTTTGTCCAAGTACTGGCAGAAAGTTCATTAAGGGTTTTCAGAATTTTATAGACATATTTATTTTAACATTGGTCGAACAAGTCAATATATTCCTTTCTTTTGGTTTTGACAATCTTGATCTTTTCATCAGATTGCTGTTTAAGGTTTGGATTTCCATGCAAATTTTTTTTCTTACTTCTCAAATATTTCTTCAAGGCTTTAGAAACCTTTTGTAAATCCAAAATTAAATCCATGTAACATCCTTTGGTCACGTGTTTTATAATGGTTTTCCTGAAAATCGACATTTCCTCTCAGTTTTTTGACAAAACTGAACCATAGCGAGCTGTTGGTTCACTAATAATCACATAACAATTGCCTCAAAAAAAGGTTATAAAATCAGGTTGGTCATGTGGGGGACCCAATTTATGACTGTCACAAGTTACACCTGTGATGAGCAGGCATCATTTATAGTCACAACCTGAACCTTTCCCAACCTATCAAGATGGCTTGAATCTTGGTTTCCAAATAATTTGTCTGACAGACATCCAGACAATATTGGTTTCGGAAAAGCTATCTTAGGACATTCTAAAAAATAGGCTTCAAAGAATCTTGCCTTCCCCCTATACACCGGGCATTTATGGAAAGAAAATATGTTAAGGTCACAGAACCAAGCAGATGAGCCATCTTCTCATTCCTGACCTAGGCAGACTTGGGGGTAAGCCAGGAATCATTTTAAAATAAACCCACAAAGTCTGGTGCCAAGTAAAACCTCTCTTGGTTTCCATATTATGAAGAAATAGTTGTCTTAGAACTATTTGGATGGGGGAGGGAGTTGAGTCATTGTGATTTATGAACAGATTGTCCTCTTGCTCCCCCTCATGAATCAAAGTGAAAATAAAAGCAATCTCTTTACAAGAGATTGCTTTTATTTTCACTTTTGATTCACTCTTTTCAAGAGATTGTAGCAAATACATAAGAGTATCAGATGTGGGTTGCAAAACTCAGGTTTGCAAACGTGGCAGTGAAGAGAGATAAAGAAAACCTTCTGATGCCATGAACAGGTCACCCAGATTTTTAAGCCCAGGTCTGCTGGCCCTACATAAACTATGTTTTTTTTAAAATCATGGTTCCTTTGAATAAGCCTATTGCTTTGTCCTGTCAATATGCTAGCCACAAACAAGGGTAAAAAAAATGGAAGAAAATATTTGTAGTTCAGAGCTGCACTGTGGTGTGGGGTCCTTGGTGCTCTCTGAGCTAGGTTCTTTTCTTGCAGACATTTCATTAACCCAACTACCATTGGTGCTAGAAGGGAGTGGGGTTTGCAAGGAGGAGGAGGAAGAAGAAGAAGACTGTAGGGTCCTTGGTGTTCTCTGATGCCAGGTTGTTTTCTTGCAACATTTCAGGTAGGTAACTTCATCAGATGCACTGTATAGCATCTGTTATCCTTCAACTGTCTAAAAAGGCCTAAAGAATTTCCTCTTTCTATATTGGAACACACCTATTATTACCAGAAGGACTAACAGGAGGTCGCCGAGGCTCCGGACTCCAGGGACAACTCTGCATTTAGATATTTTGACTGCACGGAATATGTTTAATCCTTTTCCTTCTGGTAAGAGTAGCGATTTAAAGCTTAATACGTTAACTGCAAATATATGTCATACATATATTTATATAACTGATATCTCTAAGAATATCCATACACAAGAGCCATTAAATTTTCATGAGTCCTTTCTGTTTCTTGGACATCAAGTCAAATAAATCCACGCCCAACACTGAGCAAAGTTCGGCTATGCTCAGCCCAGTGCATCTCTAGCACAGCTGAAGACAGAAAAGCGGCTCGCTGTGCGATGTGGAACTGGGCCAGCCTAACCTGGCACATGGCCTTGGAGCAAACAAGACCGGGCTAGGCTTGCCAAGGGGTCGGACTGGCATTTCCTACTCCAAAACCGGACAACCCCTCTGGGCAAAGACTTCCCAAAGTTGCAATTGCCATTGCCCAAGGCAAGGCAAGCTAGAAAATGCCAAGCCCCACGAACTGGCTGGAAGGAGCGCCGGCGCTCCAGCCTTCTTCTCTGAAGTCTGTAGAAGTTAGTTTGGCTGAGCCTGGTTTTTTTTTTTTTTTAATTTGATTTATATGCCGCCCTTCTCCGAAGACTCAGGGCGGCTTACAGTGCGTTAAGCAATAGCCTTCATACTTTTGTATATTTATACAAAGTCAGCTTATTGCCCCCACAAACTGGTTGGTGTGTGACTTCTGAGGCATTGCCTGCCCTGCAAACTGCGGAGTCAGCCCGGTTGGTTTATGATTCAGTGTGCACAGTAAACCGAGATGGCTGCATTGGGTTGAATCCAAAGGTTGAATTTCATAGTGTTTTGCATTTGCACGAAATAATAAGCCATATTGTTTTAACCCTAGTGGGCATGAGTTCCCCCCCTTATTCTACATCAAACCATCCCCCCCCCAAAATAATCAAAATTAGAATTACTGAAGCTCTGTAATGGGTACGCACAGGCACTAGGTTTCTAAATGACCCAATTAAAGGTATTGTGTGAACTCAGGTTAATTCAGATACCAGGTTAAGTAGATGCACCTCTGTTGCATCGTACTGTAATCATGTGCGCTCTGTTGTAATGTACAGTGTATCCCGTATTCCAGCCTTTCCCAATCAGATTCTAGAATTCCCATTCATAGACTGGGGATTGTGATAGTTGGAAGTCCAGCTCATCCGGATTTGGGACTCCATCATCCACTATAAAACCTGGATTCATGAGAGTACCCAGTTCCACTATCAAATGTCCCCACTTTAGGGAGATCCATATTCTACCTCTGCTTTAAACCCCAGCCATCATTTGCCCCTGCAAGAAAAATTAAGAGACGCACAATATGAGAGCATATGCACCAAGACAAATTCCTTGTGTGTCCAATCACACTTGGCCAATAAAACATTCTATTCCAGTTGGCGCCGCTGTCGTCGCTAGACGGTCTCTTTAAGACTGCCAGCCCCGCCGCCCGTAAAGAGCCGCCTCTACAGCTGAGAGGCGGCTTGAAAAACTTCAAGTTCTTGAAGAATCGGGAGGAGAGCCGGCGAGACCAGGTAGAGCCCCCTGCGAAGTCCCCAGATTGTCTTTTTTGCTTCTGGGGAGGAAGCAGGGTGAGGCTCCCTATCCAGCTCGCCGAGGCTCCAGATTCCGGGGACAACTCTGCATTCAGCAGAGCCAGACGACGCGACCAACATAACCAGCGAAATCCAAGAGAATTATCAAGAATAAACAGGGTGGAATCTGGACCTGAAACTTAAAAAACTGCAAGTATTTGTATTAGCCCTGTGATTGAACTTAAGAACGGAGAAAAAGTGAAAGTCTGCTAAAATGGCGTCCGGCTTCAGCAGTAGGAAGAAAGCTGAAAGCGAAAGTGGATTTGCCTGAGTGTTTTAATACGTTACAAAGTATCCAAAGCAACAGCGCTGGCTAGAAGAAAAGGGAAAAAAGTGATTCTGATCTGTTCCTTCTCCCTTAGAGATTTGATTAAAGCTGGGGAAATTTTTGAAAGGATTTTGTGGTGAAAAGGGAGGGAGGACTTCCTTCTTAGAAAGAATCAGACTGCGTGGCAGAATGGCTTCAAAGCAGACAAAGCCAGCCACTAAAGCTGCAGGGGGGGGGGTTCCCCCACCCACAAGTCACAAGAGCAGCCATTAAGTTTGCAGACTCAGAGCCAAGTGCAGGAGACTGGTTTTAAAGATTTGAAGGAATTTATTGCTGCGTCTCTGATGAATCAAAATGAAGTTTTGGACCAGAAATTTGAAAAATCTCAACAGGAAATTAAGGAGGTGGTTCAAGAAAAGTATGACAAGATGAAGCGTGACATACTGACAGTTGTAACTGGCTTGTCAGAAGTAGTTGTCCAGATTGATAAAAAAGTGGAAGAACTTAGTTCAGAAGTAGAATCTAAAATGAAGGAAGCTGATTATAAAATTTCTAATGTTGACAATAAAATGCAAAATATTGAAAATGAAGTGACAATGATGCAATTTAGATTCATGGAGTTTGCTGTAAGACTGAGAGGAATAAAAGAAAATAACAGAGAAGATTTGAGAAAGGTTTGTGCTGATGCCCTGGCTGTGATGCTAAAGATTAGCCCTGAGGAAATTTTGTGCAAGATGGACAAGGTCTATAGAGTGAATTCTTGGGTGGCAA